CGTAGTACTGCAGTCTTCTTCAAATGCAGCGCGCAATGCTCAAGCTCTTTCTGCTTCTTCACTGTAGGGCTCTTCATTCCTGTTGCCAGGCTTCTGACTGCGTACTTCATGTCAGGACGATCCTGCGCGAGGTAGAGCAATAAATGTCCCCACGCAACTGCGGTAGTTCTTCTTCTTGTTCTCGCCCAACTCTTTTGTTCCATCTATGTCTTGAACATTTCCTGCTGCCGGAGTCGCCTTCTCTTTTCTCGATCCAAGGCGAAGCTTTTCAAGAAGCTTGATGACATACTTGTTGTCAGGACGAACATACAGCTTGCCATCCTCGTAGCTGTACCTTCTCTTGACAAATCGCACAGACTGCTTTGGAAATCCATTGCGATAATCTTCTTCTGTAAGAAAGGGTCCTTCTACTGGAAGCTTCACTTTCTTTGCCAAAGGCTTCTAGGACAGGCTTCACCACTGCCGCTTCTCCTGCTACTTGTAGGTCATCAACACGCACAAGGCAAACACATACGACCTTGCCATTCTTGAACAGGCGAAACAATGCTGGATTCGCGACGCTCTTCTCATAGCCTTCTTGCTGCAAAAGTTCTGCACAAAAAGTTCGCTCCACAGAAGACTAGCATCTCGTTGTCTGGGAAGGACACGACCAGGTCGCCAGCATTGGCCTCCATTCCATGTGCTGCTTAACTTCCTTTTCCTCTAGGACTCTAGGAATCTTGCAGTGTACAGGTCTCTTCTGGGGAACCTGCAAAAATGCATCTTTGATGTCAAGCGACCAAACACTCCACCGATTTTCCAATGCCAAATCGGAATCAGCTTTGTCAACGACGTCTTCTCTCTTCGAGTTGTGTGCTCTCTCGCCACCAATCTCGCTCTTCTTTGCCAACATCTTCTTGACTTCAAAAATTCTTGAGGAATTTCTTGTTGCCCTTCAGGAGTATCGTTCTCGCACATGACATTCTCGGACTCTCTGAATCTCCAATCGAACACAAGCTTCGTTGTCAACCAAACGTCATCTTTGCTTTTTTCTTGCTCCATGGGCACCTCTTCTGGAATCTTCTTTGCTTGCTGCAACATCGTCGAAGATCTCGAGGTCTTCTTCTACAAGTTGAGGAGGTCCTACTTCCTCTGAAAAGAAACTTTCTGGAAGAAGTTGAACTTGAACTTAGTCTTCTCTTAATGCTCTTTATCACTCCATTCATCTTCTGTATCAAAGTCACCAGCCTCGCTGCTTGCAAAGCAATCTTCTTCGTCGACGAAGCCGCATCTGGATTCTCTTCGACTCTAAGAGATGAAGAGAAAGCAAGAAGAGATGCAGCAGGAAGCTTAAAGTTTGAACTTGTTCATGAGCATGATCCTCTACATTCTGGAGTTCCTGAAGATGAAGAAGTTTCTGAAGAAGCAAAGGTGAACCTTTTTTTAGGCAACGACAGATAAATCTAGGTCGAGAAAGACATTGCTTTCCCTTATGCGTCGTGCGACAAGGAGACGGCCCCCCCTTTGCCCGGGGGGCCAGTCTTGAGCGAGGCCCGCAGTCGATGATTTCTTGATAACAAAGAAAACCATTGCAATGGTCGTGCAGTGCGATCGACATCGTTGCACCAGGGAGGAAGCAGGCCACTCACGTGTACTAGTAGTTGAAAGATCAGCCTCCGTTCCGATCATGGATCCTCCTTGCAAAGTTGTCCACCAACTGCAATCCAAGCTGCAGCCAGTCGATGACAGCACATCATCTTAAGTCCCCCTTGAATGAAATTTTCAAAGGTGACTTTCTGTACAATCAAACTGCATGGAAAATACCAAACACATGACTGTTCAATCAATGGTCTTAACCACACCACAATACAAGCATACAACCGTAAGATGCAATGCAATCTTTTGTGTCACTTGGGATAAACCAATTCTCAAGCAACTTGAGCCTTGAGCCAATGCATCACAGACATTCTTGTGGATCAATCTTCATTTTTATTCTAGGTCAGTCATCTGTTGCTTCATAACTAAAGACAATTGGTTTTGTTTGCAAATACTTTGATTGTTTCCGGAAGAAGACGAATAATAATTGGATTGCTTTTATTAAGATCTTCGGTCGGTGTTGGACACCGCATTGAACTTGAATCTGAAAAGTCAAGTTATTGCAACACCTGTGTTGAAGACCTGCCGTGCTAATCAACTTATTGACATTAAGCCATTTCTTGGAATGCCACGCAAAGCAACAAGCCTTCGATGCAGAAAAGATTGCCAAACCCAGAAATGCCTTTGAAGAGATTGACTGCAAAACAAAAGCTTTGAAGAAGAACTCAGCTCATTATTTGCAGTACTCAAGTAGCCAATCCAGGTTGCATTATGCAATCTCAAAATTTCCCACGCGCAGGTTTTGCAACAAAGATCAATGCTTGGATCAGGGTCAAGAAAGCAATCTTAAATTTGCACTCCGAAGAATAACCCTTCTTAGAACTTGCAGAACCAAGCACATAGATAGCAATGCCAGATATTCTGAACCAGTGTATGTCAACCGCAAAGAGATATCATCAATTAACTCGGCCTAAAACAAAATATTAACAAAATAGTGGATGAGTAAAGCGATCCATAACACATTCCATCATCCAAAGAACTCTTATGCACTGACACAGTTGTCAATAAAAGTCTGAGCAAATTTTGATTTAAAATTCAAACCCAGGTTCAGTGCTTCAAGAACACTTTCTGAACTTAAGAAAAAGAGACCAGGCCAGCCATCTTATTGCATTCATTTGCCACAGTAAGATCGAATATCGCTGGTCGTATTGCTGGTAGAAGCAAAAATCCAAGTTTTTCAGTCACGTGACAGGTTTGAGTTGCGTTAAACTTAAGTTGAATCCAGGTTAAATTCAGGTTAAATTGGTCAAATCTGGTTCAAGGGTTCGTCAAGAGCAATGTCTTTGGAGGTGAGCTGACTACACAGAACTGTACAGGTGCAGGCCCTGCAAGAGGTGCCCTGCTTCCCCCTTTTCGGGTGGGTAGGTGCAGGTGGGTGCTGCGTCGGCCGCTTGTGTGTGTACAGGTGGGATCTAGCCCCCCTTCCCGGTGGGTTTACGTCTCAAGGTCTTCAATTGAGGCGAAGCACCAATCCCCGCTGCTGTTGACTCCATTGACCGTCATCGGGAGCCACAGGTTCAGCGAGGGACTAGGGGATGATGACCCCTTGACGGACCAAAGTCCCAGATCGCAAAACACATTTGCATTGGCAAAATGTGCGATGTTAAGGATCAATGGCACTCAACCACGAAGAAACATTCGCAACGTTGTGCGAATATCACAAGCAAGGATCAGACACTAATCCTTTCTCAATCCAGCATGTTGCCGCAGCATCTGGCGCTTTGGGCAACACTACAGCAATCTTGCCATGTAGAAGTCGTAGTAGTAGTCGTAGTAGTAGTAGTGGTAGCAATAGTAGTAGTTGTAGCAGTAGCAGTAGTAGTAGTAGTAGTAGTAGTAGTAGTAGTAGTAGTAGTAGTAGTAGTAGTAGTAGTAGTAGTAGTAGTAGTAGTAGTAGTAGTAGTAGTAGTAGTAGTAGTAGTAGTAGTAGTAGTAGTAGTAGTAGTATAGTAGAAGTAGTAGTAGTAGTAGTAGTAGTAGTAGTAGTAGTAGTAGTGGTGGTAGTAGTAGTAGTAGTAGTAGTAGTATTAGTAGTATGGTAGTAGTAGTATGGTAGTAGTAGTATGGTAGTAGTAGTATGGTAGCAGTAGTAGTATGGTAGTAGTAGTATGGTAGTAGTAGTATGGTAGTAGTAGTATAGTAGTAGTAGTAGTAGTAGTAGTAGTAGTAGTAGTAGTAGTAGTAGTAGTAGTAGTAGTAGTAGTAGTAGTAGTAGTAGTAGTAGTAGTAGTAGTAGTAGTAGTAGTAGTAGTAGTAGTAGTAGTAGTAGTAGTATTAGTAGTAGTAGTAGTAGTAGTAGTATTAGTAGTAGTAGTAGTAGTAGTAGTAGTAGTAGTAGTAGTAGTAGTAGTAGTAGTAGTAGTAGTAGTAGTAGTAGTAGTAGTAGTAGTAGTACAGTAGCAGGAGAAGTCGTAGCAGTAGTCGTAGTCGTAGTCGTAGTCGTCGTCGTAGTCGTAGTCGTAGTCGTAGTCGTAGTCGTCGTCGTAGTCGTCGTCGTCGTAGTCGTAGTCGTCGTCGTAGTCGTAGTAGTAGTAGTAGTAGTAGTAGTAGTAGTAGTAGTAGTAGTAGTAGTAGTAGTAGTAGTAGTAGTAGTAGTAGTAGTATTATTAGTAGTATTAGTAGTAGTAGTAGTAGTAGTAGTAGTAGTAGTAGTAGTAGTAGTAGTAGTAGTAGTAGTAGTAGTAGTAGTAGTAGTAGTAGTAGTAGTATAGTAGGAGTAGTAGTAGTAGTAGTAGTAGTAGTAGTAGTAGTAGTAGTAGTAGTAGTAGTAGTAGTAGTAGTAGTAGTAGTAGTAGTAGTAGTAGGAGTAGGAATAGTAGGAGCCGCCACGGATCAGACGGCCGGGCACTTGCATCCTGGTAAACCGGGCTTTGGGCGCAACTGCTGTCCTAGAGGTTCAACCAGTCCTCAGGGGAACGTAACAGCTTGTGCCTTACTGTGAGCCATGGTGAGCCGCGTTCTTTGTGCTGTCTGATCTGCCGGGTCCCAATTCCCGGGCCTCCTGAGCTCAGACATTGCAGTCAGCCATTCAGGAGGTAGGCGAGAGGTGTTTCCACTGCTCCGCGAGGTGGAAGGAGTACTCACGAAAAGCTATCTCAGTATCGCTCGGCGTGGGGAAAAACTAGCGGATGGCGGTACCTTCTGAGCACCCCAACAATTTTCGGAGCATTCGTAAAGTTGCATTCAGGAGAGCTTGCACGTTAGTTTCACGCACTCAACAAAGCATCTCTTATAGGCGAGGCATCTTGACACCTGAATATGTTGCACGAAGTGGATTGTATCCCCCTGCCCAACCTGCAGATGGGGGCTCCACGCAGCAGACGCCTGCACCTAAGCGCACAATGCCAAGACTCAGAGGGGGAGCAATGGCTAAGCCACTCCGAGTACTCACCTGGAACGCAGGGCACTTAGGACAACAGCAGTGGGCCGAGCTTCGCACGTGGCTTCGCACGGCAGCAGACAAATATGATGTTATTGCCCTGCAGGAGACACACTGGCAGGAAACCACCGAATTTGAGGTGGAGGGCTGGCACTGTGTTAGCTCTGCCAGCAAAGGACAGGCGAAGGCCACCCGGGTTAAGAAAAAGCCAAATCCGAGCACAGAAGGAACGGGACTGGCACTGCCAGACGCCCAATCTCATGCCCTGCATGACGACAAGCGAGCAGATGGAGTGATGGTCCTGACTGCCCCGCACATTCCAAAAGACACGGTCAGATGGAAAGAGCATCAGAAGGGACGTGTCCTCGAGATAGTCTTTCAGTGGAAGGGAGCTCGAGCACACGTTGTGACAGTATACCAGCACGTATGGTCGACCTCAAAAACTGCACAGAAAAACAGAGAAGACAGATCTACCACCCTCGCTGCTCTGTCTCGTGCCATCCGAGGTACACCGCAGAGAGACACCCTGATAGTGCTGGGCGACTTCAACTCGACATTACAGTCGAGCCCAGGAGCGGTAGGCATGTGCACTCCAGGACCTCCTCCACATCGAAAGACCGAAGACGAATACTTTCAACGGCTGGTTCAGGGACATGGATTAGTTGCGCTGAACACCTGGTCTTCAGGGAAAGGATTCACTTTCCGAACAGCCACAACGCAATCTCAATTGGATTACATCCTAGTCCCGAAGACTATCTCCCGAGGTGATGCTAAGAAGAGCAAGCCAATCGACAATTTTCCGCTAGGGAAATGGAAGAAGGGTGGCCATCTCCCCGTGGAAGCACAAATACGCCCAATGAGGCATTGGCAGCTCCCCCCTCCCCCCCCTCCCCCCCCGCCCTATGACAAGCATGCTCTAGAACATGCAGTGCGTTACAATCATCCTAAGGCACAAGAAATGAAGGAGTGGGTCGCTGACCAGCTTCAGCAGCTGACTCCTCCGGACATGAATGCGGTCAATGACATCCTCATACGTGCTTCAGAGAGGTACTTTCCGCGTGCCCCTAAACCTTCAGCTCCTCCGCTGAACGCCATGCACAGGGCAACTCAAAGAATGTGGTCACGTCTGTCTGCGCTGGATGAAGACCTAAGAAGTCACTCCCTGACGCAGGCAGACCACGAGGTGTTGGTCAAGGACCTGGCGACTTGGCATAAGCAGGCAGTATCACTGGCAAAGAAGCAAAGAGTAGCCGACTTCACAAAGGAGGTGGATCACTCAGCCAATACGGGAGACTCTTACTTGAGCCACAAAACCCTGAAAGCTCTCCGACCCTGGCAACCGCAGCCGAAAACACAGCTGGTGAACCAGGACGGTTACTTAATGGCAGCCGAGGAGGAACTCCTGCTAATGAAAGATCATGCTAAGGCGGTGTTTCAGAGGCATGACAGGTTAGATGTGCTGGTGAATGCACTGCCACAGCTGCAGGCTCCAGCATTGGCCAAGCACATAGGCTCTATAAGGCCACACAAAGCAGTACCCGAAGGCTCAGCTTCGGCAGCAGCGTGGAAACTGTGCTCAGCCTCGACAGGAGACGTGCTCCAGCAATACTGCCAGGCACAGAGCCTCAAAGCTGAGCACTGCTCAGTGGATTCATCAGTGACACTTTCAGCACCGCTGAAGGATACTGACCTTTGCTTCATTCCCAAGCCGAATAAGCCACCAAACAAGCCCACTAATCTTCGCCCACTGGGCATTATACGACCAGATGGCAAAGGATTGGCAGGAGCATGCAGGGACTTGCTAGCTCCCTATACGTCCAGCTACCTCAAGCCAGTGCCTCAGTTTGCCTATCAGCCCAGGAGAGGGCTGTCGGATGCCCTGTCCAGAGTCTCGCAACACACGCGCGAAGTTAGGCAGGCCTGTGCACAAGCCAGACTCAGCAGACACAGCCAGCATGCAGGCCATGCCAAGCCAGAGCTAGTAGGAGGCATTTGCTTTGCACTGGACCTATCCCAAGCATTCGACATGGTGCGACGACAGGACCTCATGGACACCCTGCAGGAGGCCAACGTCCCAATCGCGGTGCAGAACTTAGTGGCGTCTTTGCACACAGACAGCCGCTACAAAGTCAGATCACAGCAACAGACATGTGAAGTAGAATCGACTACAGGCATAAAACAAGGATGCAAGCTCGCCCCCACTCTCTTCTCGATGCTCACAGGCAAGCTCTTTAAGGAACTATCGACAGTTGTGGGCAAAGAAAGGATGCAGCAATCCCTCACAGGCTATGCAGATGACATGACGATCCATCACAACATCAGCAATTGGGAAGACCTGCTAAAAGCTCACCACATGATAGCAGAGTTGCTCCGCATTGTTCGTAAGTACGGCTTTAAGGTGAACCCAGAGAAGTGCCACTTGATGGTAAAACTTGTAGGTACTGCCTCCTCCAGAGCACACAAACTCTTCAGCCGAGTCCACAAGGATGCACAAGGCAACAAGCATCGGCTATGGAGAATAGGTAGCACGAAAGCCCAGGAGTCATTCCCACAATCTACCTCTTTTAAGTACTTGGGTGCGTACGTCTCCTACGGCAATCAGGAAAAACTAAGCCTCGCACATCGCCTGCAAGAAGGCAACGCCAAACTTCAACAAGTTCGCAGATATGTTCACAACAGGAGACACTCGGGGCCAAAGAGCAGACTCAAGATTTGGTTCTCCACAGTCTGGGCCACTGTCTCAGCAGGCCTTGTAGACATAGGCCTTACAGCAGACACTGCTAAACAGCTGCGAGGATGGTTTGCCAGAAAAATTAGGGCAGTCCTGAACAGACCGGTCCATCTCACTGGAACATCCACCGAGCGCCTATTCGAGGAGTTCTCGCTCAAAGACCCAGTGCAGATCCTGCGAGACAGACAAGCGAACCGAGTCACATCCCTGCAAGGACGGATCTGTCAGGCAGGGCAATCCCAGTCTGCACTGCAGAAGGAAGCGACTGAGTCACTGACTCACGATGACACGTCGTCTCCGGATACAGACGTGTCATTAACAGCTCAGGCACTTCAGTACGCTGAAATGGTGCTGCATGAATATGATGCACTGCTGACTGCGTCGCATGCAACGGCAGAGGAACCGACTCACAAATGCCGGTTATGCTCCTTCAGCTCTAACTCAGAGCAAGGCCTAAAGATCCACGAGGTCAAAAAGCACCGTGAGCAGCTGGACAGATATGTGCCCAAATCATTCCTGCCAGAACACTCAAAAAACGGCCTCCCAACCTGTGCAGCGTGCTCAAAAGATTTTGCACTGTGGAAAGGCCTTAAAGATCATCTTCTGTCAGGAGCCTGCCCCAATCCAGACGCCCTGCGAGACTTAGACGCCCGAACCCTTGAACTCCAATCCCAACAGGATGCAACAGAGGTGATGCATGCCTGGTCTAAGGCATACCTAGAGAGCACGAAAGACACACATACGGTCACTCAGCTCGCCAGGCAGCATGACTCAAGGCACTTCGTGCAACACTGTGTGCTCTGCGGTTTCTGGACTCCTGATCATACCAAGGTGAAGTCCCACATTCACCAGGAGCACTGCAAGGCTTGGGACGCTCTGCACACCGCAACGGCTGCGCAGTGCCGGAAACTCGGGACCGAAATCTTTAAGGGCAGCTCCTGCCCATACTGCATGAAGCCAGTCACTGACAGGCGCAAACACCCAGAACAGTGCGGCGTGCTCTTTCAGATCATCATGGGCGATTCTTTCCTCCATCAACACAGAACAACGACAGGACCGATCCAAGCCTTCTTCACCAAAGCTGCATCACGCCCTAAACCGGAGCAGAAACAACACCAGCAGCAGTGCACAACCCCGTCCACACCTAAGAAGCCAACAGGGCAGCTCCAAACCCCTCTCTCCTTCTCCTCTAACCGTCCTGAATCGTCACAACCAGTGAGCGGCTCTTCTTTCTCTCAAGCCCACCCAATTCCCTCTTCTCCCTCTCCCCTCCCCTCCTCTCTTCCTGCCGCTCTCTCAGTCCTTTCACGGCTCCAGCTGAAGAATACCTCTAACTATTGCTATGTTAACGCCACAATTTTATCGCTGCTGTCGACCTCTATTATTGATCCGAACCTGCGCTCCCTTCAAGCTCTCCACACCCTGCTGATAGGCTCGGAAGGCACAACAGGTCCTTCCGCCCTCAACGTAGTAAACTCATTCCAGCTCAGGAACTTGCTGCCACGATGGCGCTTCGATGGCACACAACAGGACTCGGCGGAGTTCCTACAGTGCTTACTCACGGCAGCCTCGGACATCCCTCTCACACGCAGATGGGCAACAGTCGACCCAGCATCGGGAAGGCTGTCCGATGAGGGAGGCCCCATCGTAATGCTGCTACAACATTCAACTAGCAGCACGCTGCAGTCCTTGATAGATGCCTGGTCAGTAACCCCTCCAGACTCCGCACTGATGGGGCAGCAGACGCACGCCATCCTTGCAGTAGCCAGATTCACAGGGGCAGGTAAGAACCATCACCCAGTCACGGCTATCAATGGAGATCTCACAATCCCAGTGCTACAGGGCGGAGTCATCAGCAGAGAGCGTGCTTTTGTTCAATCTTGTATTTTCCACATAGGACCCTCCCCACACAGCGGCCACTACCGCACTATATGGAGGTCATCGCCCACCTCGCCCTGGCAGTCGACCGATGACCAGCGCAGCTCTCAGAGTGCTACGGAATCAGACCAGCGGCAAGTAAGACACGGTTCCTATCTCTTCTTTCTCACCTTTCGAGCGGAAGTGCCTGCAATAGTAACGCTCTAGTGGCCGAATAGCACCAACAGAAGTGAGGAGTCGTAAGAACTCCCCACCTCTCTTGTAGAGTCGTAAGCACTCTTTGCTAGAGCCGTAAGCGCTCTCAACCACTGGAGTGTTGCAGCAGCTTCGGCTTTTCACTGCAGCCAGAGCCTCTCAAACAACTAGAATAACCGACGTAATTAGAACACAGAGAGCCCAGAGAGCATCAGCATGCTCGGTCAAGACCGTCGGGATGAGCGACAAACCGAGAAGCGAGCACGGACATCCGGGGCGGAACAGCTACCTCGCACAGACGAAGGAGGAGAAATCCATCCACTCTCACCGACGGATCTCACCCGAGGCTTCCTGATTCATGAGGATCAGATAAGCAGACTGATGCACCAAAGCACGCTGGTGATCAAAATGGCAGCCTCAGCGCCACTAGCGTCTAAGCTACTCGAAGCAACGGCGCAGTGGAGGCGAGAGCATACCCGAGGCAGGCCACATCCCAAGGGGCCAATTTATGTGGCAGTGGCCCACCAACTACTGTCAGAACTGCAGGAGTCACAGATGCCGAACGGTGTCAACCAGAATGCCTGGTCTACATTCATGGACGTCATCTCTGACCTGACCAAGAAGGCACCACCGAACCCCATTCTCGAACAAGAGCTGGTGCACTGCTCAGCTAGGCTGACAGCCAGACGAACAGATGTTCTGATAGAATTTCAGCCCCACCTCATGGGCACGCTGCAGAAGCATGCCAACATCTACGTGAGCGCCATGCAGCTTCAAGGCGGCGAACTTCTCGGCAGGCGACCGCCTGGGACTCTCTCGCGGAAGGCCAGAGGCTTGGCGATCACGCCTGAGCAAGGATAAGCCACCTCAACACGGAAGATCCAGCACCCTCTTCGTCTGACACTGTCAGTGCCACTATGGGACACTGTCCCAGCACGCTGCTCAAAGCACCGCTTGTTGCTCGGCTAAGGCTCCGGCAAGGCCGAAGCCTCTGGCACTGCCAGAGACTGACAGCCATTTTTTCCACTTTTAATTCTTTCAACAGACCCCAAGCAATAGCGCGGACATTGCAAAATCCCTTTGAGTGTGCACTATGGGCGTCTGTTTGTGATTCTGGCAAGCAGGCAATACAGAACCCGCTTCATGTGCAGCATGGTTATACAGAACCCGCTTCAAGTGCAGCATGGTTATTGCAGTTCATGGCCATGCCCCATTCCTTGAGATCGCCGCCGCAAGAGACAGTGTGGATGCAGCCACTTCCTTCCCGGTCCTCTCTCCTCTTCTCCCTCTTCTCTCCTGCTCTCCAGCTCCTCTTCGCTTGTTTGCGCAGACTCCAGCCGCCCGAGCACAAGGCTCAAACTGCTGATAGGCACAGCCCGGTATACCCTGCCAACGCTACAACGTGTCATGCCCTTCATTGTGGACGACAACCAATTCCCTCCGGAAAAGTACGAGTACTACCTGCGCCTCTTTCATCAGAACGTTGCAGCTCACAAACGAGAAGCTGAGAAAGCAACTAAGCCAGCCACTTCCAGCCTGGAAAGCGTCGACGACAAGCAATCCAGCTCCGCAAGGACCCACAATGGTCCGCTCAGGGGTCGGGCGCAGGCAGACGCGAAGCGCGCGAAGCCGCGCGAAGCCCGCGCGCGAAGCCATGCGCGCGAAGCCCCGCGCGCGAAGCCGCGCGCGCGCGAAGCCACGTGCGCGAAACCCGCCCGCGCGAAGCCGCGCGCGCGAAGCCGCGCGCGCGAAGCCACGCGCGCGAAGCCACGCGCGCGAAGCCGCGCGCGAGGCCGCGCGCGCGAAGCCACACGCGCGAAGCCACGCGCGCGAAGCTACACGCGCGAAGTCACGCGCGCGAAGCCACGCACGCGAAGCCACGCGTCTTGATGGGCCCATCACCTTTGCTCAAAGGGGGGCTTAAGGGGGGGGCTTAAGGGGGGCTTCAGGGGGGGGGCAAAGGGGGGGGCTTTGGAAAAGACCCTTTGAAGGGGCTTTGAAGGGGGCTTAACGGGGGCTTAAAGGGGGGGTGCTTAAGGGGGGCCTTAAGGGGGGGCTTAAGGGGGGGCTTAAGAGGGGGCTTAAGGGGGGGCTTAAGGGGGGGGCTTGAAGGGGGCTTAAAGGGGGGCTTTAAGGGGGGCTTCAAGGGGGGCTTCAAGGGGGGCTTAAAGGGGGGCTTAAAGGGGGCTTCAAGGGGCTTGTCAAGGGGGGCTTAAAGGGGGGTTTAAAGGGGGGCTGACAGGGGGGCTTCAAGGGGGCTTTGAAGGGGGCTTAAAGGTCCTGGAAAGCTGGCATGGCCCCTGCAGCAAGGATGACACGCACAAATCGAATGGCTCAAGATGAAACAGGGTCACAGGGTTGCCGGGGTTGTGGGCTTCGGCCTGTCCCCAGTAGGGTTTCCCTTAGGTGCCTCTTGTTCGGGGTTTTGGGGTTGTGTCTCGTGGGGTTTGGGGTTCCCGAGCTTAGGCTGGTACTCCTCTTTTGGCCCCTACCTTCTCCCTGGTTCCCCTGAGTTCGGTTCTCTTTTAAGGGTATTCTTTTGGTTTCCTGGGGTTATGAGCCCAAGTGTCGTGGTTCTGTGTGGTTAGTTCGTTCAGGGCTTTAGGAAAGATCCATGGATCCTGCGTCTTTTCAGTTGGATACCCCGTCAGAGACGGGCGAAGCTCCGATGGGAGAGCATGGTGGTGATTCTGTGGATGAGCTTTTTGCTCAGGCGTTGGATGGTCTGACGTTTGGGGCCAATGTTACTGATGCAGCTGGTGGAGGCAATGGTACAGGCGTTGCCACTTCGGCTACATTGGAGGACAATGGGTCTGGTACAGTTTCTGGACCTACAATATCATCTTCTCAGGTGGATGGGAATGGTGATACCCTTACGACAGTTGCTCCTGGTACCACAGCTGGTGCAGTGATTTCCACAGGGTTGGGTGATGGGCCCTCAACAGTTCCTGATACAGCGGTTGCACAATCGGTCAGTGGTCCTGGTCCATCAGCCAGTGGAAATGTGCTGCCGGCGCCAGAAGGTATCATAGCAGCTACAAGTACAAGCACAGAGGTTTTTCAGCAAAGTACCGGGCCATCAACAGTTCCTGGTACAGCGGTGGCACAATCGGTCAGTGGTCCTGGTCCATCAGCCCATATTGGTTTTACCAACGTGCCGTTTCCTGGAGGTCATTTTGACAGTGGAACAGGCGAGCAACACTTGACTGGGCAGATGACACACTGGACTCCAAATAACGCTGCAGTGCAAAACAACAATCCTGGACTGGCGTTTAACACCTACGAGCAGATCCGAGCTTTGGGACAGCCGCTACATCGACCTGAACCAGCCCCTACACAAACAGATTGGATGGGCCCGATGAGACAGATGCTGGGAGATTTGCTGCAACCTTTAACTTCGAGGTTGGATGTGTTGGAGCAGGATAGACAATCTTCTCAGTCATCGGCATTGGGAGCAGTGGATCAAGCGGCTTTAGCAAGAATGTTTGCTGGTTTAAATCTGGAAAGACAGGACTCTGCGGGTTCCCAGGCCCAGGCTGCTTTGGGGGATCTCCAACCTAGATCGTCCGATTCGATGCGGTCGGCTAGGTCTCATCCTTCGCAGGAGCTGGGTGAACAGGAGACTGGAACTCGTACACCAGTCGCGGTGACAGAAGGACCGGAGCAGTACATGATTGCCACGCCTCCTGGTTTGGGACAGCCTGCAGTGTGGCCAATGTTTCTTTGGATGAAAGGGATCGTGAGTTGGTAGCGTTGCGAGTTCAAGTACAACAGCTACAGATGCAGTTACAACAGGTTCTGGCCAGAGAAGCTGCGAGGGCTGGAGAGACTGCTCCTTCAGCAGAACCAACGCCTCCACCACCACCGCCACTCCCCAGTAGCCACCATACACCTGGTGGCACACGTGTTCCTTCGGGGCCTTCAATGGCGACACCCAAAGTTCCTGGGGTAACAGCTGGCGTGGATACATCGTGGCAGGCCATGGGACCGGCAGTTTGGGAGGTGGTGCCGCCACCCCCACCACTACCTCCGGAGATGAGGACGAGGCCAAGGGCCTTAATATCTGAGGAGCCAGCGGCCTTGATGCCTTCGGAGGAGACCGCCAGAAGTATTCAGGATCTGCCTAAGCTGGAGATCTTCAAGGGCAACACCGAGGATGCTGGAATGATTCTTGGAGACTGGCTGACGGTGGTCAAACCGATGATGGCGGGAATTTCAGCCACAGCGGCAGAGTGGTGGGACCAGGTTACCGGCGCGGCCTACAACTATTACGATGACTGGCTGGCCGCCTCGCCGCTGAAGAGGTTGGAGCTCCGAGACAAGGTGATGGGGCTGACAGCACTGTTTGAGCACTCCAGGTGGTCACGAACTGAACAACGAGGCGCGGTGCTCATGCTGGCGGCGTTACCTGCAGATGTTAAGGAGGAAATGGTAACCATCCGAGCGGTGCAAACCATTCCTATGCTGTTTCGGTTACTGACCAAGTATCAACCGGGAGGAGCAGGGGAGAAGCAGGCTTTGCTACGAACGTTAACTACTCCAGCTGCGGTGAACACGGCGACGGACGGCATCGCTGGAATCAGAAAGTGGTCCCGAGCCCTTACCAGAGCTCAGGAGCTGAAACTGGCACTCCCAGATCCAACACTGCTGGTTAAAGCACTGGACCAGATTACAGCTGCGGTGATTGCGGGGCAAAGCTTATTCCGGCTGTCAACTTTTCGGTTGGAAAACAAGATTGACTATGCCCCCACCTTGTCCTCTGCCAAGTCCTTAGCGCAGATGTTGTTGGCGGAACTGGAAATGGTTACTGGCTCCGAACTTGGAGGACGAAGACCTAAGGTGGCGGCCATGGAAACAGAAGCGAAAGGAAAGGGCAAGGGCAAAGACAAGGGGCAGCGGGAACACGGGCAATGCTGGAACTGGATGACACCTAAGGGGTGTCGAAAGGGCAATGCCTGCTCCTTTCCGCATGACAAGGCCAGGATGGTGGGGAGGTGTTACAACTGTTCTGCAGAAGACCACCAGAAGGCCAACTGCCCTTATCCTACCACCTCTGCAGACACCGCCGCTGCCAAAGAGACCAATGACAAGGCCACGGAAGCAAAGGGCAGAGGCAAGCACAAGGGAAAGCCCAAGCCCATCGTGAAGAAGGTGGAGCCGGACGAACCAGCGTCCTCTACGACTTCCGCTTCGTCCTCGACGGCCCAGGCAGCTTTTCTTCAGGAGGCATCCGAGCTCATCAAGACGATGAGATTGGCGGCGTTGCGAGGTGAAACGGATGGCTGGGGATTGCTGGATGGTGGAGCTACGGCCTGCCTCAGAAAGGCAAAGTCCAATCGGGAGTTCCAACGAGCTGCCCCGATTACAGTGGCCCTGGCTACCGGCTCGACACAGCTCCGGATTAATGATGCTGGCACGCTGCTGACCAATGATCCCTCCACGAGTCCCATTGTGGCCATGCATGAGCTGATCCAGCTGGGGACAGGAGTGACCTGGGATCAAGGTGGTATCTGCATCAAGGTCCCGAAGTTTGGCCAGCTTCCAGTACGATTGGCTACCGGATGCCCAGAAGTTCCAGAAGCACTGGCCTTAAAGCTCATTGAAGATATTGAGCAGAAGAAGCGGGACAAGATGGCCTTCGTGAAGGAGCTGCGAATCCAGAAGGAAGATGGAGGTGGCCTGGAGCAAGAAGGGACTATGATGTTTGAGGATCCCGTAGCCATGAAGCGCTGGTTGCAAGATCAGTTTTTGCATCTGCCAGAGGGGGTCATCGATGCCTTAACCGTTCCTGCCTATGCCAAAGGAAATGACTGCTTGCCTTGGAGCCGGAGGACAAGGAAGGCCATGATGGCTTCGAAGTTCATCGTACTGAACCTGTTTGCTGGCAAAACCCGGGGCTTCTTTCAGCAATATCTGGATGGCAAGGGTATGGATGGGTGTTACGTTATCGATGTGGACCTGCCTGAAAACCTGCTGTGCGACCAAATGTATGGTTTTTTGTTGGAGTTGGCCCGAAGTGGCCATGTCAAAATGGTGATGGGCGGACCTCCAGACAAGACGTTTGAGGCACCCAAGCAATGGAGGGGGAATGATCCTCAAGACCGACTTGGCAGATCTGAGCTCGGTCCTCGCGACCTGCGGGCTGTGGAGAAGGAAAATGTCCTGATCCTGAGGCAGTTGGTGCTGTATATGGTCGCAGAGGAAGCAAGGAGGCTTCATAACAACAGCCAGGCGGTGGGTCTGGTGTTGGAACACAAGGCGCCAAACAATGGGGAAAACACCGAAGCTTCGAGACCGGAAATCTGGAATTGGCCAGAAGTACAACATTGTCAAGCGAAGTACAAGTTGGAAAAACTGGAAGTCGACTTTGGCGATTTGGGTCACCGGACCACGAAACAGCAAGGACTGCTGGTATCGCACAAGTTGTACTTCGATGAGGTTTCAATGGTGAACTGCAAAGACTGTGGTTCGGGGGAGGAAGGAATGGATCCTCAAGAAATGACCAAAGGGCATGAGTGGCCTGATGGTTTGAAGTGGGCAGTTCTACAATTGCTGCTGCGCTTGGTCCCGGGGGGCTATCAATCCATCGTCTGGATACAAAGTTCCGACAACATGTTGCCCAAGGCCATATTCCCTTTCGTCGCGATTGCCTACACTGCCTAGCAGGCGGAGCCAAAGACGGCCAGCATAGGAGACTGCCTATCAGCGAAGCCTACACGATTAGCGCCGACCTGAGTGGTCCCTACACGGTGGGCTTGGATGAGTATGGTCGGGTGAAGTACATGTGCACGATGGTTTACACCATTCCGGTCTTTGCAAATTTGGAGCCGGAACCAATGGTGGAAATTCCTGAAGGAGGTGGTCAAGCTGAACAGCCCAGATCTTCAGAGGCAGTCAATGAGGCCGCATCCTTGCTGGACGTTGACGGGTTGGGGGGTGCGGACACCACATCGCTGTTGGGCGAGGACACACCGGATTATGAGCCGGATTTGGATGATGAGCGGTGTTCCCAACTGGATGAACCACTACTACCTCAGGCAAAGGATGAGGAAGCCGTCGTCCTAAGGGATTATGGGCTGGACTGCGAGGAGGACTGGAATGATGAGGTGGATCCCGGTGAATGGGAGTGCAACGAGGAGGTCCTGGAGGAGGAATTGCCCAAGGAGAACCTCACGGACTTTCAGAAGCGCCTCGTGCAGGAACAAGCTGAAGCCTGGAAACAATATCTGGTCAAGGCTCGCGAACAGGCGGACTCGGTGGCTCCTCAAGACTTGAAGTTGGACAAGCTACAGATGGTGGAGCTCACTTTCGCTGAGAGCCTACGAGATAAGACCCCAGCATCTGTGGTTGGAGCCATAGGTCGCGTTTACAGCAAGCTGAAAATGTGGGGAATGCATGTGGCCAGGTTTCATACAGACAAAGGAGGAGAGTTCCTCAATGCCCCCGTCTGTCGTTGGCTTCAGGATAGAGGGATTTATCAAACCTGTGGACAGGGCGGATCCTACAAGCAAAATGGCCGGGCAGAAGCTGCAGTTGGTATTTGCAAGAGGGCCACCAGGACGTTGCTGCATGGTGAAACGTCGGCCAAGCGACTTTGGCCGGGTGCCTGGCGATGGGTGGCCGAGCGACGCCTTCGCAGGGCCTTGGCCCGACTGGGCATGCCTGTCAAGCCTTTGGTTCCGTTTGGTACAGTGGTTTGGATCCGCAAAAGACACTGGCATAAGGCTGAACAATGGGATGATCGTGTCCACACGGCGCAACATGTTTCCAGGGGCTATGTGGTGAAAGTGGGAAACGATTTCTTCACGACAACCACGCTGTTTCAAAATGTGCAAATGGCGGATACTGGTGCAATTTCGGCCATGGATGAGGTGGAAGTGGACGCAGTGCCTCCTCGACAGCGAGCTCGCGGCAAACAGGGCTTGGCCTCGTTGTCGGTAGCACCAGCAGCACTGTCCTGTCCAGGGCATGACAGGGAGCAAACTGGACACAGTCTGGTACAAGCTTGGAAAAAGGCGGACTCCTGGATCTCTGGACCCTTGCAAGAAACAATCGAGTGGCTGCAGGATTCCTTGAGCGGGACAAAGTTACGCAGCGACCGCCAAACCTCTGAAGGCCTCTATATCACCAATGGGGTTTACAGGCGAGGGGGAGTCATTGGGATCACAAATACTACAACCCAACAACCTGATCGGCTGCGAACTCAGGTCCTGAATGCCATCCTCGCAGCTGCTTTCCCAAATGACACCTGGACCTCGTCTACCCTTTCGGTGAACAACTGGCTGGGGCCGCATCGTGATATCTTCAATCAACGAGGGACGAGTAATCTGCTGGTATGCCTTTCACCCTCCATTTCTATCTGGACTGAAGTGGAACCACCCTTCACTGGCCTGGGCTCGGAAGAGTTGGTCTGGAAGGAGGTTCGCCCAGGACTCTGGAAGCCGGGCCAGATTCATCGTCTTCGTTGCGGGGACTCGATGAGATTGGATCCACGCAAGTGGCATGCCTCGGAGGATGGCGAAGAAAAGGGCCCACGTGTGCTGGCGGTGGCTTTTTCCTTGGCAGTGCATGCCAGGTTGGAGCCTGGTAAAGGGCCAGCCTGTATTCTGCAGGTTTCCCATTGCCGGCTATAGCAGGCACTGGGGGGGGGTACAAGCAAGATTTGAGATCGAGTTTGAGTCCAGCCTCGCCCTCGAACACCAGCACTACGACTGCCCCTAGGCCAAGGGTCGCCAAACTTCGCCTGCGACAGCGAGAGGAAGGAGAAGCCGATGGGCCTGCAAGGCAAGTGGAGCATACACAAATTCAGTACACTGTGTTGGATGCTGCAACTGCGGATCGGTTGTTTCAGGAGAGATGGACCCATGAGCAGGCCAATGCTCACGACCTGGATCAACATCCCTTGCAGCGCTTTGTGGACGACTGGGAAGGTGAGTGGTCCCCAGTGCTCCCACCGGATGGCATCCTACCTACGACGGAAACTGTCGACCAGGCGGCCTCAGCAGCCTATGAGTATCGCTTCAGGTGGGCAGGTTTGCTACCAGATCCGGAAATCGACCCCAATCAAGTCCTGAGGGACCCAAGTATTCGATTGGACCGGGTCAATCCGCCTGAGGAGGGAATGCAGATCGATCCTGTAATTCAGAGGCATTTGGTTGATGAGGATGATCCAGAATCAAGGAGGCGGGCGCTAACAGATGATCGGCCGGATCTCACCATGGCGACGATTATCAACTACCGCTACATGTACGACGATGAAAATCAGCTGGAAATTCATCAGTTTGCCATGATGGTAAATCATACAGTGGGCTACGAGGAAGCACCTCACTGGCAACCCCTTGACATCGTCATCCGGTCCGAGGTCCTCTACGAGCTGCAAGAACCTCAGCAGGCAGAAGAAAACGAGGAGGAGCCTCCAGAAGATGATGAGGACGTGGATCAAGGAGACGATGAAGATGATGATCCGCCGGGAGATGGTCCAGATGGCCCAGGTGGAGGTGGACGAGGCCGTTCGAGAACGCCGGAAATCCGGTACGAGGACTATAGAAATGTTCGGCCTCGCTATCAACTTCGTCTAGAACACAGCGATGCCCTGAAAATGCTGGATGCTGCAGAAAGTTTTTTGGTTCCGGAGGAGGCGGGAATGTTGTATCAAAGCAAAAACAGCCTTGGAACCGGGGGAGCAGCGACTGGTGTGGTGGGACATGTTGTGGCCTCCGAGATACCCATTGGTTTTGAAGCTGATGAGCAGAGCGACCTGCTGGATGGCATGCAGCTGGGATTGAAAAGGTTAGGGCTACGTGAGCAACAAAAGCTGCAGCAAGACCTTTGGGATCAATCCAGCTTGGACGAGGAGCCGGACACTTGGACCTTGAAGGATCAAGTCACGCAGGTACGGGCCATACACGAACAAGCGGACCAGGTGGAGGATGATCTTCGACTGTTGAAGAGCATGTCTGTGGAGACAAATGTTGGACGTACGGGCGCTCCTACTGATGTTTTTCCGGAGGTGTTCTTGCAAACAAAGACAATTCAGCAAGCCCAGGTATTGCAGGAGCTGCCAGCGTGGACACCAGCAATGAGTGCCGAGTATAACACGATTCGCCATGAGAAGGCTGCAATAGAGCCAATCACCGAGCAGCAAATCCGGGTCATGGAGGAGGACGACAGCCTGATCGTGAAGAGGATTCCGGCAAAAATGGTGTTCACAAGAAAGGCGGTCAGCGGACAACGCAAAGCGAGGGCATGCGCTTGCGGGAACTTTCTCCAGGCCGAAGAAAGTAGCAAAACAAAGCAGGAGCTCCGGGAGGAGGTATATGCGGCTGGTATTGACATTACGGTGCTACGTACCATGCTTGCTGTGGGGGCTCGTCGTGGCTGGAAGGCTGGAACGACGGACATCAAGGGGGCCTTCCTGAATGCCCCGTTACTTCAGCGGACCAAAACCAAAACAGAACGCATCATTTTGGACCCGCCGAAAATCCTGTCCCGAGCTGGAATTATCCCTCCGTATGAAAAGTGGTTGGTGACCCGTGCATTATACGGGTTGGACATTTCGCCTAAGAGCTGGGCAGTGTTTCGAAATCAACAACTTAATGGCCGAAGATTTCAGAGTGGAGGAGCGTGGTACACCTGGCAAGCTTGTCGCACAGATCAAAATTTGTGGAGAATTTTATCCGAGGATGGAAGATTGTGCGGCCTGGTTTCCATCTATGTCGACGACATTTTGGGAGTCATGGAAGATGGGGTACTACAATCGTGCTTCAGCGATCTGTCGCAGCTCTGGGCATGCTCTACACCGGAGTACGTGGCCCAAGGATCTGTTCGTTTTTGCGGATTCGATATATCAGAAGGATCTGATGATCGCCGTGGATTTTTGCTCCGGCAGGAGGCGTATATCGACGAAATCTTGGAACGGTTCGAGAGCGAACATCAAGGCAGCCTACGAACTTCCAAGGTTCCTGCGTTGAGGTATGATCTTCCTCATGACAAAAAGGAGATGGATCCTTTGCAGGTGAAGCTGGCCCAAAAGCTGATTGGTGAGTTAAATTGGATTGGAACCCGTACAAGACCTGATATTATCTTTGCCATCAGCAAGGCGGCTCAATGTATCACCAGGGATGCTGTTTTGGCGGTGGAAGCAGCAACTCAAATCTTCAAGTTCCTCAAAGCCACCAAGGAGGAGGGCCTTCGCTATGTGGCCAATCCGGATTCTTTTGGGAAGCATCAGGAGTTAAGGGTGCCTAGAAAAGAGGCGTTGGTGGAGGTTTTTACTGATGCCAGCCACGCTCCCGATGCCGGACGTTCCCAAGAATGTGTACATGTTTTTGCTGCAGGCCAATTAATTGGTTGGTCGTCCAACAAGCAAACTATGACCAGCCTCAGTACAGCAGAAAGCGAACTGTGTGCAGTGTTGGAAGGGGTAGCTTATGGTGAGGGAACCAAATGTGTTTTGGAAGAAATCTTGCAGGTTCCTGTTCAGGCTGTGATCTACTGCGATAATGCTGCTACGGTTGCCCTAGTCACAGGAAGCTCCAACCTTTGGCGGACCCGAGGGTTAAAGATCAAGGCTGCAGCACTCCAGGAGCGATTACAATGCGATATTTGGCAGATGTATCACCTTGATGGTGTTTACATGACCGCAGATTTGGGCACAAAACCCCTTACTGCGAGTAGAGTGGACGAGCTGAGGAAGCTGATCAACATGGGAGGGCCAACAAGCTGTCGACCTCAAGCTAGCAGGCTGCAAGCGACGAACATGCTGAAGATTTTGGTTTGTTTGGCCATGTTGAGTACAGTGGATGGTGCAACAATGGAACAAGCGATGACACTGGATGATATGGCGACCGTCGTCATGTTGAACTTCGGGCAGACGGCGCTTTGGATGGGCCTGATTGCTATGGTGCTCAGTATCCTCTTTTTGTGGGAAACGGCATGGTTTTTGGCAGGATATCAGAGGATTAAGACCCGGTCCAAGGAAGACCAGTCCTCGCTACCGTCGTCTTCAGCTCCAACATCCACTGGGATGGGAACAACCACGGCCACTGGGACGGCGTCGAACGCATCCACTGGGATGATCTCGAGCACGCCCCCTGGGATGATGCCGACTCCATCCACTGGGATGTCATCGGCTCCTACGGCTTCTTCGTCGGCGCCTATGCCTCCACGCAAGGCGCCCCCAGTCCGACCACCACGTTCGGTGGAGCCAGCCGGATCCGAGGATTATTGGACGACACGAGGGGGATGGCATGTGAGGGTCCATCGACAACCACGAATCCAACTGTTTGACCCCTGCGATGCTGCCAGACCCTTCGGGTTGGAGGAGTTGACTGGTGACCGCGTTACCTATGTCACCTTTCAAAATGATGGTGAGACCCAGGTCATCCGAGATATCTTCCGTTACAAGGTGGACGCCAAGCGACGACTGGACCGCACTTGGAAGGGAGTTACGGAGTTCGTCATTTGTTGACTGGCTGGGATGTGGCGATATTCTTTACTGGCGATTTCAATGGAGGCTTTTGACCAGGTGCCTCGCCCGAAGGTCAATGGAGGCTTTTGACCAGGTGCCTCACCCAAAGGTCACAAAGATGATCCGATGCATTTGTGCATCAGCTCAGGGGGAGCCTGGAAAGCTGGCATGGCCCCTGCAGCAAGGATGACACGCACAAATCGAATGGCTCAAGATGAAACAGGGTCACAGGGTTACCGGGGTTGTGGGCTTCGGCCTGTCCCCAGTAGGGTTTCCCTTAGGTGCCTCTTGTTCGGGGTTTTGGGGTTGTGTCTCGTGGGGTTTGGGGTTCCCGAGCTTAGGCTGGTACTCCTCTTTTGGCCCCTACCTTCTCCCTGGTTCCCCTGAGTTCGGTTCTCTTTTAAGGGTATTCTTTTGGTTTCCTGGAAAGGTAAGGGGGGGGCTTAAAGGGGGGCGGGGCTAGAGAGGCTTAAGGGGGAGTTAAAGGGGCTGAAAAAAGGGGGGCTTAAGGGCGACTCTAAACATTACTTTATCTTGAAAATGAGAGAGAAGGGATTTATTCTAAATTCCACCCCCCTCGAATCTTGTTTTGTTTTTTGGATTTCGTTCTTCGAAACTAGAGCAGTGAGACTCTAACTTCCATTTGAAAAGAGAGAGAGAGAGAGAGAGAGAAAGAGAGAGAGGAATTTATTCTAAATTCCACCCCCCTCGAATCTTGTTATATTTTTGTATTTTTTTGGGATTTCATTATTCGAAACCAGAGAAGTGAGACTCTAAACATACATTTCCCCTTACGAAGCGAAAGAAGGGAATGTATTCTAAATTCCACCCCCCTCGAATCTTGTTTTACATTTTGTGTTTGTTTTTGGATTTCATTCTTCGAAACCAGAGAAGTGAGACTCTAAACATTCATTTCCCTTTACGAAAAGAAAGAAGGGAATGTATTCTAAATTCCACCCCCCTAGAATCTTGTTTTGTTTTTTGGGTTTCATTCTTCGAAACCAGAGAAGTGAAACTCGTTTTAAAGGGGAGCTTTCGGGCAATTCCACCCCGCTCGCTTCTTTTTTTGTTTTTTGTGTTCATTACTCGAGTTTCAAGGAGCAGAGAGTTCATAGCAGTGACGTGGCGCGGGGCTAAGCCGAGAACCCCATGTTTTTTTTTTTCAGAGATGATTCATATGCTTCCACGCGAGCTTGCCCGGCAGAAAAAAGCGGGGGGGTTGGGGGGGTCGCAGCCCCCCCCATTTGCATAGCAGTGACGTGGCGCGGGGCTAAGCCCCCATGTTTTGTTTTGTTTTGGACATGATTCACATGCTTCCACGCGAGTTTGCCCGGCTTAAACAAGCGGGGGGGTTGGGGGGGGCGGAGCCCCCCCCATTTGCAAACACGATGCTCGCACTAGGCCTCTTAAACTGCTGCCTAAATCCTCCACCGAAGGCCCAGCACGTATTAAGCCTCTTAGACGTCGTAAACTGCTGCCCGAACCCTCCACAAAAGGCCCAGCGAGTATTCGGCCTTTTAAACTGCTGCCTAAATCCTCCACAGAAGGCCCAGCAAGTATTCCGCCTTTTAAACTGCTGCCCAAACCCTCCACAAAAGGCCCAGCAAGTATCAGGCCTCTTAAACTGCTGCCTAAACCCTCCGCAGAAGGCCCAGCAAGTATTACGCCTTTTAAACTGCTGCCCAAACCCTCCAAAAAAGGCCCAGCAAGTATTAGGCCTCTTCAACTGCTGCCTAAACCCTCCGCAGAAGGCCCAGCAAGTATTACGCCTCTTAAATTGCTGCCCAAAGGCCCAGCAAGTATTAGGCCTCTTAAACTGCTGCCTAAGCCCTCCACAGAGGGGGGGGCTTGGTTGCGGCTTCAGGGGGGAGCTTTAGGGGGGGCTTTAAGGGGGCTTAAAAAGAGGGGCTTAAAGGGGGGGCTTTAAGCCCCTTAAAACGGGGGGGCCTTAAAGGGGGGCTTTAAGGGGGCTTTAAAGGGGGGGTTTTAAAGGGGGGCTTAAAGGGGGGCTTAAAGGGGGGCTTGAAGGGGGGGGCTTCAAGGGGGCTTAAAGGGGGCTTTAAGGGGGGGCTTGAAGGGGGGGGCTTCAAGGGGGCTTAAAGGGGGCTTTAAGGGGGGGCTTAAGGGGGGGGCTTAAGGGGCTTAAAGGGGGGCTTAAGGGGGGGCTTAAAGGGGGGCTTAAGGGGGGGCTTAAAGGGGCTTAAGGGCTGTGACCCTTTGCCCCCCCCGCCCCCCCCGAAGGGACCCCCTTTGCAGGGAGCCCTTTGAAGGGGGGCTTCAGGGGGGCTTAAAGGGGGGCTTAAGGACGACGACTACGACTACTACTACGACTACTACTACTACTACTACTACTACTACTACTACTACTACTACTACTACTACTACTACTACTACTAGTACTACTAGTACTACTAGTACTACTATTACCTATTACTGCTACGACTACGACTATTACTACTACTACGACTATACTATTACTACGACTACTACTACTACTACTACTACTACTACTACTACTATTACTACTACTACTACTACTACTACTACTACTACTACTACTACTACTACTACTACTACTACTACTACTACTACTACTACTACTACTACTATTACTACTCGTACTACTACTACTACTACTACTACTCCTGCTGCTGCTGCTGCTCCTGCTACTGCTACTGCTACTACTACTACTACTACTACTACTACTACTACTACTACTACTCCTACTACTACTACTACTACTACCACCTACTACTACTACTACTACTACTACTACTACTACTACTACTACTACTACTACTACTACTACTACTACTACTACTACTACTACTACTACTACTACTACTACTACTACTACTACGACTTCGTAGTAGTAGTAAGACTACGACTACGACTACGACCACGACTACTACTACTTCTGGTACTAGTACTAGTACTAGTACTAGTACTACTACTACTACTACTACTACTACTACTACTACTACTACTACTACTACTACTACTACTACTACTACTACTACTACTACTACTACTACTACTACGAGTACTACTACGACTACTACTACGACGACGACGACTACTCCTACTACCATTACTAATAGTATTACTAGGAGTGTCGAAGCCTGCGAAGCCCGCGAGGCGCGAAGCGCGCGAAGTGCGCGAAGCCCGCGAAGCGCGCGAAGCGCGCGAAGCCCGCGAAGCCCGCGAAGCGCGCCCAAGTGCGCGAAGCGCGCGAAGCGCGCGAAGCCCGCGAAGCGCGCGCAACGCGCGAAGCCCGCGAAGCCCGCGAAGCCCGCGAAGCGCGCGAAGCACGCGAAGCCCGCGAAGCCCGCGAAGCCCGCGAAGCGCGCGAAGCGCGCGAAGCGCGCGAAGCGCGCGAAGCGCGCGAGGCGCGCGAAGCGCGCGAAGCGCGCGAAGCGCGCGAAGCGCGCGAGGCGTGCGAAGCCCGCGAAGCCCGCGAAGCCCGCGAAGCGCGCGAAGCGCGGCGCGAAGCGCGCGAAGCGCGCGAGGCGCGCGAGGCGCGCGAAGCGCGCGAAGCGCGCGAAGCGCGCGAGGCGCGCGAAGCACGCGAAGCGCGCGAAGCCCGCGAAGCGCGCGCAACGCGCATGTCGCGCGAAGCGCGCGAAGCCCGCGAGGCCCGCGAGGCGTAGGGCGGCCCCCAGGCGGACCATAGTCCAAGGACCAAGTCGACATCGGACGCCACTGGCTCCCAGCAGACACGCCCGACACGGAAGCCGCCTTCTCCTCCGAAAGCGCGGTCCAAGCAGCAGCCGACAACGCACTGGCGACCGAAATAAGCAATTGACAAGTGAGAGTCGCGGCACTGCCGAGCTCGCTAACACACACTGTGTGAGGCACTGGAACGTACCTCTTTAATTTGGCCCACGTAGCAAGGCCGAGGCAACTGACTTTAAAGCCGGGCACATTTCGAAGAAAACGAGTCAAAAAGGTGCGAGTGAACGCTGACCCATGTTCTTAGAAAGACATTGCAAGCCACTCACCTCTGCCTCCTACCTTTCTTTCTCTCTCCTCTTTCACTTCTCTCCTGCGATCACTGTGGCAGATCATGTTCAAAAAGCCCGGGCACAGCGGCAGGCACATTCTTCTTCAGCTTCTTTGCAGCCAGCAATGGCCATGGCGGGAGCTGAGCAACGCAGCAAGCAATTCCAGCTGCACGAGGAAATGCTGGGCAGGATCACTGCCCTGCACAAAAGCTCCATCGCCAGGGCGCTTATGGAGCCTATGGGCCAGCAAATCGGCCATGGCAACAGTGCGTTCGTGACCACGCTGGCCTACCCGGCCCCGGAGGGACATCGACTGGTCGTCAAGCGTGCAAAACAGAATCGGGAGGCCGAGATGCAAAAAGAAATCCACCGCCTACGGCGTCTCCCGACGATCCCTCTCTTTCAGACCATCCTGCACACTGACATCGGTGCTGCGGTCATGCTCACATTGTACACAGTTGAGGAAGGCATCAAGCAGCACCTCTACCGAAACAAGGTCCGAGCAGGATCGACAACCACCTTGCAGACAATCCCCAGCACTGCTGAGGGGGACAAGGATGAGGCACCAGGACACTGTCCTCCTGCCCGAATCCCCTTTTCAGCATGGAATGAAGACGGCACCCCGGTGTACCTGCCAGACCCGCACCAGGCTGAGGAGCATCAATGGTACGACAAAATGGACCAGAAACACATGAAAGAGCTCTTTGACACCATCGCTGAGGACATGCAGTGCGCCTCTCAGTGCTCCACCAACACGGCATCATCCATGCGGACATCCACCTGGGCAACATCATGTCGTCGCAGTCAATACGCCACACCACCCCACAGTGGGTCCTCATTGACTTGGGCGACAATGCGGCAGAGGCCCTTTACTCAATACAAGAGGGGTACGGGGCGCAAGTCAGAGGAGGAGACCTCCACCGGCCGCCAGGGGTGGACAAGTCGCAATACCACACGGGCAACGGCGACCTCTACCGCCTATCGCTGACGCTCAAC